GGGTTTCACCATGTTGACCAGGATGGTCTCGATCTCTTGACCTTGTGATCCACCCGCCTCGGCCTCCCAAAGTGCTGGGATTACAGGCGTGAGCCACCGCGCCCGGCCGATAAGAAGAGTTTTAACACCCACCCTCCCCATCCTTCTGGAGTGTGAAAACCTGAGAGGGGGGTGGTGAGTTGAGGGGGAGCAAAACAAAACAAACAAAAGCAAAACAAATCAATAACAAAAAGAAGGCAATACTATCATTTACAACAACACGGATGAACCTGGAGGATGCTATGTTTAGTGAAAGAAGCCAGACACAAGACAAATACCAGGTAAGTTCACTTCCATGTGGAATCTAAAAATGTTGAACTACGAGTAGAGAGGAGAATGGTGGTTACCAGAAGCTGTGGGAGGGATGGGGATTGGAGAAATGTTGATGAAAAGATTTCAAAAGTCAGTTAGATAGAAGGAATAAGTTCAAGAGATTTATTATACAATACGGTGACTATAGTTAATAGCAATGTATTAAAAATTGCTAAGACAGTAGATCTTCAGTATTCTCACCACAAAAAAAGATAGATGTGTAAGACAACACTTACGTTATGTAGCTCAATTTAGCCATTTCACAACATATTCATATATATATATATTGTTTTTTTTGAGACAGAGTTTCACTCTTGTTGTCCAGGCTCGATCTCAGCTCACCGCAACCTCTGCCTCCTGGGTTTAAGCAATTCTCCTGCCTCATCCTCCCAAGTAGCTGAGATTACAGGCATATGCCACCATGCCTGGCTAATTGTTTTGTAGAGACAAGGTTTCTCCATGTTGGTCAGGCTGGTCTTGAACTCCTGACCTCAGGTGATCCACCCACCTCACCCTCCCAAAGTACTAGAATGAGCCATAGCGCCCGGCCTGTATTCATATTTTAAAACAACATGTTGTACACCATAAATATGTATAAATTTTTGTAAATTAAAAAAATAGAAATAAAAAATAAAAGCAAGGAAAGAAAAGAGGGTCATGTGCATCATGCTTGGAGCTTAAAAGATGAGTATATCAGCTAGGTTCTCTGAGAAGCAGAAGCTGAAGTTCAGGGCAAGAGGTTTAATGTGGGGAAAGGCCTGGAAAAAAAAGATAAACAGAGAAGGAAGCAGGTGGAGCCAGAAGAGCCTCAGACTTTGATGCAGGTCTCAGAGTCTCAGCTGACTTAGCAGGGAGCTCTGGCACCGACTGCCCATTAGAGGAGGCCCGTGGTGGGCAGGCATGTCCAGGCACTGGGACTCTCGCTGTGCAAGAATGTCCCGGTGCCAGGACCCACGCTGTGCACGGGAGCGTAGATCCCAAAGGTGCTGAAGCTAGAGCCTATTGGTTAACTGCACTTCTTGCAGCCAAAAATGTGTTTACTCTTGAAGGGGGAACCAAGGCTGCTATAGTGAGATGCTGACAGCCAGAGGTAACTGTTCAGATTTATTAAACCTGTCTCCATAAGTAGGCATAAACAGTCCATTACGCCTATTGAGAAGAGGAAAATAATTCCACCCCACTGAGCTCTCAGAGTCCAGTGCAGAGAAAGTCATTTCTGAGAGCATAATTGTCAAGTCTAATTTTCGTTTATTTATTTATTTGTTTTTTTAAGAGACAGGGTCTTGCTGTCACCCATGCTGGAGTGCGGTGGTGCAATCACGGTTCACTGCAGCCTCAAACCCCCCGGCTCCAGTCTTCTTTGCATCTCAGCCTCCAATTAGCTGGGACTACAGGTGAGCCCCACCATGCCCAGCTAAGTTTTAAAAACATTTTTTTGTGGAGACAGGACCCGGCTATGTTGATCCTGGCCTCAAGGGATCCTTGCACCTCAACTTCCCAAAATGCTGGGATTCCAGGTGTAATTTTCATTCTTGTTCATGGATTGTGATTCAAATAAAACTTCAATTTTTTTCTCTTACTGCCCTTTTAATCTTATTCGGTGGGGTAGTCTTCCCTGCCCCAGAACTCTGGCCTCGGTCTCAGTCCAGAAATGAGTACTGGTCTCAGTTTCGAAATGAATACTTCCTGTCCTATGTAATATAAAAAATTTCAAACTGACCTTATTATCAAAGAATCTGCCTTATCCTGGCTTAGGTCATCCAGGCTAGAGGCCGTAAGTGCAGGAGGGAGCACTCTCTCCTCTCTGCTTTGCTCAGCTTGCCTTTCCCCATCTGCTCCCCTTACCAATGCTCCCCCTCAACTCACCTCCCCCTACTCAGGTCTCCCTACTCTAGGAGGATGGGGAGTGTGGGGAAGTGTTACAACTCTTCTCACCTAGCTGAGTGGCTCTGCACTCTGCAGGCCTCGCAGATGGTCAAGATGAACTATTTTCTGTTAAGAGCAGTTTTGCTGGTTACATTTTGCTGGTTCCTTCTCTCTTACTCTTGACCGGGGGTGGATGCACCTCTATTCTGGGTGGTCCTTTGCAACTGCTTCCTCAGCCCCTGGTCATCTGGCCACACATCTCATCTCCTCCTCCTACTATAGAGGCCTGTCCAAATGTCCCTATTGTACAGCACCCAGGACAACCAAGCAGGCTGTGTCTCAAGGGTGGCCCTTAGCTACCCATCATAAACACTCCTTGCCCTGACAGATGCCAGGATCTACAACATGGCACCACACTCTTGGCCCCTTCATGGGAGCCCGTTACTGGTTTTAACTCTCCCAGACCTGTCATAGGTGCCTGTCCCCTCTGACTCTCACCTGCAGGGCCACATTCCAAAGCTCCCTAAGCCTTCTCCTTGAAGTCTCCTTTATTTGGCTTGTGGTCAGAGGCAACATCACCATACCTTGGGGAAGAGGTGTGGACTCACAGTAAAGCTCTTTCCAAAGAAGCCTCTTTCCCGATCTCCCTTTCTCAGCCCTCCATCTATAGATGAGGGGGTTCCAAAGGCAGTGACACCAGTTCTCCTTGGCTCCCATTGCACATTCCTCAAGGGCAGATCTCCCTCACGTTGCCTTTGATCTCCTGATACCCATCACAC